CCAAAGGGGCTTTTGATTGCTGGACTTTGGAAGTCAGCCTCAGGAGGAGGAAGTGGGCAAATATGGGATTAGACCGTGGAGGCTAGCTTTAGGAATGTAACCTAATGGTTTTAAGCAAGGCCGAGAGATGGGGGAGGAGGGCAAGTCCATGTCTGCCAGGCCCAGGCTGACTAGAGTACTGAAGACCCCAGTAAAGCAGAATCTAGACACCCTGTACTAAAACAGGTTGCTTCTAGTCAGGTCTTGGATGTTCCTCCGCCACACACTCAGTCCCCCACCCCACCCCATCCTCCTCTCTTCCAGAACTTCACAGGGCAGGTGTTCTGCCATGGAGCTGTATCCTTAGTTCTTTTAACTCTGTTCTGAGATAGGATGTTCCTAAGTTGTGAGGCTGGGCTCCAGCTCGTCACCCTCTGGAGCAGCTGCAACTGCGGGCTTCTGCTAGATAATGTCTTAAAATTTCAAAATACTTTCTCAAGGATACCTGACCATTCTACACTTTCTCTGGGGAACTCTGCAGTCCTCTTAAAGAAACCTACAGCTCTGTGGGTTGATCTAGAAGAGTCCCAAAGTATAGAAGTAATGGAGGCAGCAACAATAATTCCCAACATTTATGCTCTTTTTTTCCCCTTAAGTTCACCAAACCACCTGCAGGTCCTCTCTGATTATAGGTACATATATGTGTATGCAAGTACACAGACATCCCCCCAAAAAACTGTCAGGGGAGTGTGGCGCCATGTAGGAGATATAGCACTGAGAAAAGTGACAGGTATCATTAATATCAATAATTGAAATATTAGGACAGGGTTGGAGAGATGGCTCAGTGGTTAAGAGCTCTGGCTGCTTATCCAAAGGACCTGGGTTCAATTCCCAGAACCCACATGGCAGCTATCAGTTGTCTGTAACTCCAAGATCTGATACCCTCACACATGCATGCAGGCACAACACCAATGCACATAAAATAAATACAATTAAAAATACTTTAAGAAGTATTAGGATAAATTACTGATGGTCAGAAGAGGGTGCTATGGTACACACCAATGTGCAGGGTGTGTTCTTCTCCATGCTAGAAAATTCTCTTCCTCAGTGTGCCACCAACTCCCCAACAGAAGAGTTGGAACCTGAAGAGCAGGTTCCCATTCTTTATCTGCGACTCTGGAATTAAGAAACAAAAAAGCAAAACAGAGCACAGTCTTCTCACCCAGTACCAGCGTGAAGGGAAGGCTTGTTTCAGATCTCATCCAATTTACAGATAGCAGAAACATGGATGCATTGATTGGATCATGCATAGAGTTGGGATATCATATGAGATATGGTGCATGGTCCTTTTACATAGGGATCTGAAAGCCTTAGTGAGGAATTATGGAAGTAGGCTCACATTATTCTTGACAGTGACCTTCCAAGAGATGTGTTACAATCAATTACAGTCATATGCCCCAGCTAGCTTTGGCCTTAGGCCACTAGGATTGTCAGAATCCTTCATTCCCATTACCTGATAGAACTCCATAGCCCAAGGTTCCCACTGGAGATTTAGGTACCAAAGATCCCAAAACTCAGAAAGGAGTAGTCCCTACTGGACTCAGAACAAGAACAGCCCAGCTGCCTGGTGCCTGTGCCTTTCTCAGATGGTGACTCAAGGCCCTTGTTCTCACCATAGGCAGAGGAAGCAAACCACTAGGCCCACACCCTGGTTCTTTTCAGCCTAGAGAACATGGGTGAACTAAACCACAAAGCCCTGTGGCAGCAGGGATCTTGATGCAAACATTGCTCTATCCTACTCTGCTCCAACCTGGACAGCTAAGTAAAGGCTATCTCCATTGTCCTATCTCTGTTCACTCCTCCTTCAAAATGCCTGACTAGGAAGTCTAGTTGGTGGTTTCAGGGTGACACTGGGAGAGATAGATGAAAGCTCAGCAGAGTCATGTTCCAGGGGCTAGGAGGTAACTGCCTTTGCTGGGAGAGGCATAGAAAGAGAGGAGATAGAAAAAGGAATTGGACAAACACAGTAGCCTTAGTTTGCAGCCCCACCTGGCAGGCATTCCAATTCTCCAGTGTTTTCTGGAAACTCCCTTGGGGCAGAGCAGCAGGTATGATTCCCTGGGATATCAGGGCCTCACAGGGACTCAAGTGGAAGACACGGAGTTGAACAGGCAGCACCTTCAACTTGACATATGTCATCTGGTACCATGTCATGCCTGTTGTCACCCCCATCCTGAAGAAGCTGCCCAGATAGATGGCAAGAAGTTCTGATCACTGCTTGTCCCTCAGTGTCTCCAGTATCTGCCCAGGAAACTCAGTCTGCAACAACTCTGATGGTGCCAACTCCAAGCAGAGGGATCAAGTCTACTGGGCTTTCCGTTTTATCCCAGAAGTTTCTGGCAGTCTTTCAGGAAGGGTTGTGATGAATAATTCCTTTCTTCAAGATTCAGCAGAGCCCAGCAGGATCTGGTTGGCGGCTGCTAGCTGGCAGGAACTAGCAGGCTTCTTAAAATTACTGGAGCAAGACATAGGGTACAAGGGACTTCCCAGCATGCCAGTGCCATCAAAGGACCTTGAAAACCTACATTGTGTTTATCCAAACAACTCTTACTCTTGGTTCACGTCTTCCATCAGTATTTTCTGCTGACAGTGGAGGAAGTGGGGGCCATGTCCTACTGCAGAGCCTGCCTACAGTTATTCCAGGCTGAGGTGGACAGCACATACTCTGCTTGAATGACAATGCAGATCCTTCTCCCCATATCACTGCGCTTTGAGAATATCCTACTATGACTTCATGATCTTTCCAAGCTCTAGGATTATGAGTACACACCAGGACACCTGGCTCACAGACTCCTCCAGTCCTCACCACTAAGAAATCCTGTGTTCTGAAATGGGTCCCCAAGGCCAAGGCCTCTTTAGTGACTCATAGGAAACCATCTCTTATCACCCAGGTGCAGAGTCACCCTCCTAACAGGAAACTCAACTCATGGGGAAAAGCCAAATAATGTATTACTGACTTTTTTTTTTTTTTTTTTTTGAGAATAGATTCTGTTGATTTTTATTTTCAGTTGAATCACTCCATTTCACTGTTTGATTTACTTATCTTCTCTCCCCTCCCCCAGCTTCTGGATGTGGAAGCTTAATTTATTGATTTTTAGCCTTTTTTGTTTTGTTTTATTTTTTGGTTTTTTTCAAGACAGTTTCTTTGTTGTAGTCCTGGCTGTCCTGGAACTTGCTCTGTAGACGAGGCTGGCCTCAAACTCACAGAGATCTGCCTGCCTCTGTGTCCCAAGTGCTGGGATTAAAGGTGTGTACTACCACCATTTGGCTCAGCCTTTCTTTTCTAATGTATGCATTTACAACTATACATTTTCCTGATCAGTGCATTGGCTACATATCACAAGCCTGATATCATTTTTATAACTTTTCTTTTTAAGAACTATGCTCTATGCTTCTCTGATTAACAATACAATATTCAAACCACACCATGGATTCCCATTAAAACTCTAAACAGAAGTGAAGGAAGTGAAGGAAAGGGAACAAATTGTTCGAGGCACAGACCTTTAATCCTAGCACTAGGGAGGCAGAGGCAGGTGGATCTTTGTGAGTATGAGGCCAAGCTGGTCTACAAAGAGAGTTTCAGGACAGCCAGAACTGTTACACATGAAACTCTATCCTGAAAAACAAAAAACAAAACCCAGAAAAACAAACAAACAAAAAAGGAAGAAAAGAAAAAAAGGAACAAATTGATGACTTCTGCTTTTGGGAGATTATTTCAGTTACTTTAAGAAACACACTTAGGAGGAGTAATGGCTGAGCATTACCAGCACACACTGCTCATGCAGAGGACCCACGTTTGGGTCTAATACTCAGGATAGGCAAGGCACAGTGTCCCGCAGATCCAGGGGATCTGCGACTGCTCATCTCCACAAGCACCTACACTCACTTGCATCTACCCCCACACAGACACAGGCACATCCACATAATTACAGTAAATATAAAATAGTAGAAATACATTTTAGGAGCCAGAGAGATGGCTTGGTTGGTAAAGGGCTTACCGGGTAAGCCTGAGAACTCTGTAAAAAACTGGGCACAGCAACATGTGCCTGCAATCCCAGGGCTGGGCAGGTGGTGAGGGGAGGGTGCCTGGGGCTTTGCTAGCTTCAGGTTCACTGAGAGATCCTGTCTTAAAAATGAGGTGGGGACTAACTGAGGAAGATATCTGTCGTCAACTGTTAACCTCTGGCTTCCTCACATGTCCCCGCAAATAAACACATTTTTGTTGTTTTGTTCTTAGCATCAGTATTTTTGCCATTGTGTATGTCTTATGAGGTGCCAGATCCTCTGGAACTGGAGTAACAGACAGTTGAGAGCTGCCATGTGGGTGCGGGGTCCTCTGGAAGAACAGTTGAGGCTCTTAACGACTGAGCCATCTCTCCAGCCCCATAAGCACATTTTTAAGTGAACAGAAAATCTATTAATATTGCGCCTCACTAGGAGCTTAGAAATAGAAAGCACCTGTGTTGCCAGCCTAGATTTACTAAATTTATTTCCTGTCACTGTGGTCACTTTTACAGCTGTTTGGACTTATTTTTCAATCACATTGTTGTTCACAGAATTCACAGAATTCATTAACAAACTAGTATTTTATATTCAAGGGTTATCAGTAGAACAGCAGAATAGAAAAGATGCCCAAGAGCTGCTTGGTATGGAACATCAGTCTGATTAGATAGAAGTCTAGAGCATTATTGCTTTATTAGTCTTATCTTAAAAATTATAAATTATTCCTAGGAAACCACCCTGTCAGACATTCTTCATTCTGCTCACTCTGACATCACTGATCTGTAGGTACCCAAATCCATCAGCCTGTGTTATGCTCTTTCAGCAGTTCTGAGGACTGGCTGAGGCCAAACAATGCTCCTCCACGTATGCTTCTACATGTAAAAAAGCATAGAAACATTTTTCTCTTTTTCTTTCTTTTCTTTCTTTTTTTTTAATTGTCTCAGTCAGTAGCTCAGTCAGAACTCACTCTGTACCTCAGGCAAGCCTTGATCTTGGATCCTCCTGCCTCAGCCTGCCAAGCGGCTGAGACTCCAGGTCTGTGCGTCAGGCCTAGGGGTAGAAACCTCTTCCGCAGTGTGCTGTTTCTTCCCTGGTCTTGTGGATAAGGGGTTGCATTCACACATGGGCCTCTATGCAAAACTTGAATTAGATCTAAATAAGAGTTCAACAAACGACTAAAGCTCCTATAGAAGAAGCCATTGATCATGCAAGGGATACATCTGAAACAACAAAAAAATACCTCAAGTTTAATGTGTGAGGAATGTCTTAAAGAAAATATCCTTGATGATCCTGGTCCAAGGTGGCTGCTTAGCACTGGCTTATCAGTGACACGAACTTGAAGACTTCTAGAAGGCTTCATGGCTGGGTATTTTTTTCTTTTTCTTATTTAGTTGCATTTAGGTTCTTATTTTGAAAAAAGATCTTGGAGATTTCCTTGTGGCCCCTGATGCTCTGTGGAACCAAGAATACTGGGATAGGAGACTGGCTTCCTCAGGGACACTGGTATGCCAATGGCATTTAGGGCAGGATTCCTGAGAGTAGAAACTGTGTCAAGTTTTGGGGATGGGAGCAGATGCTGTGTGAACAATGCAGGCTGTAGCAAGGGCCTCAGTTCAGCTTCTTGTTGTTGTCTGTGCTATGCACAGAAGCTAAAAAATCGACAATGAGCTTGGCTGTCTTCCTGGGTCTCTCCATCACCACTGAGTGGCCACAGTTTTCCAGAAGCTCTACCTGGCAGTTAGCAATAGACTTGGCCAAAATGTCTGCCCCAGACACATCAAGCACCTGCAGAGGAAGAGAAGGAAAGAAATGGTGCACAAAGATTTATATATTACACTGTATTGTTGTGGGCAGTTCCTACCACTGAGGCCTGGCAGGGGGCAGGAAGACGGGGTAAATGGAAGCCATCCGCACGCCTCCTGTTTGACTCTGATACTAGAAGCACAACATTGCCATTGACAACCAGGAAGGAAAGACAAGGAGGCTGAGGTCAGACATATCAACAGACAGATGCAGTGTGATGTGAACAGGGGCTCCATAGAAAGGAGCTGAGTGAGCAAATAAGAGCAGAGAAAGGGGAAGACACCATTCCTGGGTTCTGAGACAGCTGAGGGAGTAGAGGAATCTTTACAGAAAGGGGAAGAGCATGAGGGGGAGAGGTTATGGTAAGCCAGGGTCAGGCATGGCATGGTAGAGCGGATCCAATTTTATTCCAGGTTGGGGAGTGAATCCAGGGCTTTATGCATGCTAGGCAGCACACACCACCGTCTGCACATCCCCATCCCTATTCCAGCCTTGGGAGAGTCGGGAGTCCTGAGACCTACTAAGGGAAATAATTTGAGTAGTTGGCTCTATGCTGAAGTTGGAAGCCTAGGTGTAGGAAGGTCCCACTAGAAAATGAAACAGGTGAATGCTACAGGGGGTACTCTCACGAAAGACCTTCAGGGACCCCAGAGCTTCCCCAGGACTGATACTTTTCAAAAAAAACCCTCATTCACTTTTATTTTAATTTTAGTTATCCCTGTAGCATGCCTAATGGGTTCATTTTCTTTCCCTCCACATTTTCCTTTGGAGGTAGGTTTGCCATCGTGGCCTCTGTGTTAATCAAAGTCAACTGTAAGTCTTCCCAGCCAAGACCATCTTCTCTACCCTTACAGGCAAAAGCAAAGACCTTAAGTATTAAAGCTGTTTCTGAGCTTCAGTCTCAGCAACTTGAGATTTCCAGCACCTTCAAGTGGATAGGCAGAAAAGAATATAGTAGAGCGCCCTGGGCCAAGGAAAGGAATGTCAACATAGGGCTTCATGTGAAGGGATCACCAGCTGTGGGTGGGCACCTCTGCTGAGGTCTATTGCAGTTAAATAAGGATCAGGATAAACAAATAGGCTGAATAGTTGTTTATTCAGGGAGAAATAACTTACAACCTAGACAGATGAACACTAGCAAGTTCCACCGGTTGCTCTCCTGTCCTAGTCCCGCCAGCAAGAGAGCATTCCTGGTTCTTCCTCAGACCTCCTTCCACGGGTCACTCCGCCCATGGCTCCACCCTCCAATGGGCGTGGTCAGTGCCACAGAAGGAGGCAATGTAACTATCTCACTACAATTCCCCTTTTAGTCTAAAGAAAAGATTTAGGCTTGATACAAAACTATATACAAAACAGTGAATAACAAGTATGCTCTAAGAAAAGGAAAATCGAGAACAAAATGACCTACATATCTAGTCCTAGGGTGAAGGCATAACGGAGTTTACAATAAAGTTGTCCTAAGCTGGAAAACATGAGTCTAGTACCTAATATATTTAACTAGGAAGAGAGAATAATAATTGTGATAGTTTAATCTTCAACCTCATCAAGACCTGAGAAGGAAAATAACGATACTAGGATAGACAGGAAGTGCGGATGGGCAACTTCCAACAGGTGCAGCAAGGACAGAAACAGCAAGCTACCTGAACAGTCACCCTAGGTCTCACAGCAACGTTGGTACACCCAGTTTTGGCTAAAGCCAAGAGAACTTGACAGACCACAACAACAGCAAGGAGGTAGAATGGCTGTCTTACCCTGACTTGGCAAGATCCAGCAGTCTTCTATATTTGTCTCCTGCAAGCACATAGGACTGCATGTCCAAATCAGTGGTCAAGGTGGGGGCAGTTCTTTGCCCAAAAGGCCATTAGCTGAGGCGAGAATGAACTCCAGCAGGAGCAACAACAGTGTCCAACAGAGGTCACTACCTAAGCAGAACGAAACCCACATACTGGGGGGAAAAGTGCCCAGAGAGGGTGCAGATTAAGTCAAAATGACAGAAGCAGAAGAAGAAAAGAAGAAACTCCCAAACAAGGATCCATTCTGAAGAGAGATCAGAAGCTACAACTCAGAGGCAAAATATCCACATGGGTTTAACTTGGCACTGTCATGCTAGTCAGCTCTACAAATTCCCTGTGGTCACCCATGTGAAGCTAGTGTATGGTCCCTCATGAGATATGCATGATAGTGGGAACCATAGCAATTATTTCATCAGTAAATATTCTTAAAAAAGGTTCTCCATTCCAGGTGAATATGAGTCAAGTCAGGGCTTCACCTCGGGTTCAAAATTTACAGCGACCAAAAATACTCAGCATTGGAGATGAAAAATACGTAAGTACAGTGTTTTTTAACAAACACTAATTCAAAAGAGGTGGGGGAAGCAAGCTCTTGTATGCCATGCCTTGTGCACACAGAAACAAAAAGTCAAAAACAAAATCAAAATGTCTACCCTCTCACCTCCAGTCAATAACCACAGGAGCCTGATGTCTCACATAAACATCCTTAAGAACCCATGGTACCCTAGAGAGATGCCCAAACTCATGAAAAACAAGTAGTTCTATAGAATTGATTACTCAATAACACAGCAAGATGCTCACCTATCTATCCCAAACAAATGCCCCATGAGATAAAAGCAAGTTGCTTTCTCCTTTAACTACTCCCTACCAACAACACAATTGCCTCTTTGGGGCTTGTAGTATATAGCAATAAATTCTGTCTGTCCATATCCTTTCTTTCACCATCTGCCTATGTTACTATCTTTCCACACACAATGTTGGCAAGAAGAGATAAGAATGGCATTGGCGGTCTTCTCTTGAAGGCCTTTTATTCTGGTGGACTGAAAATGGAGGAGAGGTTCTTGACCTGATTGATCTACAGGAGCCCTTGCAGGAAGGGCTACCAGTATAAAATCAGCCATGCAGACTTTATACTGCCCAAATCCAGGAGTATCATCTACATACCTAATAATACATATACACAGATTCCTATCTCTGGGCACTACAGCAGTTGTCCTACTCGGGTCCAAAGGAACAGGAGGCTGAACTCAGTCTGATAGGTACAGGTGCTGTGACACCAAATGCTGATGACAGGGAAGGCAAAGAACAGGGAGCTTGGGAGCCAGAGAGCTTGGGCAAAAGGCCATTCATGGGGGATGTCCTTCTGTATGCTGCAAATATACATTTCTCTTATTGGCTGATGAATAAAGCTGTTTCAGCCAATGGACAGGCAGGATGTAGCCAGGCAGGAAGTATAGGAGGGGAGACCAGACTAGGAGAATTCTGGGAAGAGGGACGCAAAGAGCCAGGCACCAGAGAGATGCCATGTAGCTGCCGAGGGAGAAAGGGGGCCAGGAATCACTGGTAAGCCAAGATCACGTGGAAATACACAGATTAATAGAAATGGGTTAATAATTAAGAGAGAGTTAGCTAATAAGAAGCCTGAGCCATAGACCAAATAGTTTATAATTAATATAAGCCTCTGTGTATTTATTTGGAATTAAATGGCTTTGGGACCTGGTGGGACAGAAACTTCTGTCCACAAGTGGCGCTGGGATACTTACTTAGATCACAGCTGAAGAAGGACAGTGGTAGAAAACTACAGCATACTTCTAACTGAGGCCAGCATTCTGGCTCTCTTGATCATCTAGCTCCACAGGACAATGGGCTGTGGCCTGTCTTGGCAGCTCCCAAGGGACTAGCACTACTTTGGGAATTTTTTATAAAACAGAAAAGTCGTTGTTTTTCCATTTTTCCTTTCTTCCTGTTTTTTTTTTTTTTTTTTTTTTTTTTTTTTAAAGACAGGGTTTCTCTGCATAGTGTTTACTGTCCCTGGTCCTCTCCTTGTCCCTGTCCGTTTGTCCATTTGTCCGTTTGCAATGTACCCTGGGCCATCCTTGGCCTAGGCTCTACTGGCTTACCCACTGCATGCACTGTGAGTGCACACCAGCTCCCTCCCTCCTGGGCCATCTTTGCAGCTCTGGGTCTAAGTATGGTGTGACTTTCTGTTTCTGCTCTCAGCATCCCAGACAGGGCTCACAGTGTGGATTTTCACCTTGGGGTCTGCCAGGCTTGAAGGGTTCCTTATAAATTCATGCACCGGAAACTTATTCTTAATAGATCATCGAGATCTCTGCCCTCAGGGATAGATTAATGTCACTATCATGCTGTCCTCAACCATGCTATGCAACAGAAAGTCCCTCTCTAAGTGCAGGGCAGATGTTGGGTATCTACACATGGGCTTCCCAGGTAACCAAACCATATGTATTTCTACTCTTTTTAAATTACTCAGTTTCAGGAATTTTCTTACAGCAACACAAAACAATCAGAAAAAAAAGAGCCTGTTTTTAAATATCATTTTCTCATAATATTCTTTAATGGAAGACTGTGCACCCTTTAGAATACATTATCATTCATCTGCATCATACATTTATCACTGCCTCCTCTTGCTTTAAACTTTATGAAAAATCTTTGGTAGGCATGATTTCTCAGAAGCAATTACAAAGGTACCTCTGGGAATGAACTTGGCGCATCTTTGGAGATGTGATTATGAGCTGAATGGGGTCCCCATATTCTCACGTTGAAGTCCTAATCCCACTCGGCATTGGCCTGATTTGGAATAGTGCATTGCAGGTGTAACTAGTTAAGATGACCATAAAGGAGCAGGGAAGCCCTAAACCAGTATGACTGGTGTCCTTACAAAGGGGGAATGGGGATACAGACACACACACACACACACACACACACACACACAGAATGTCATGTGAAGATGAAGGTAGAACCTAGAGAATACATCTATAAGATAGGGTATGCCAAAGATGGCTGAAAGCAACAGCAGCTGGGAGGAAATGGAGCAGAGTCCCCAGAGTTCCCAGCCTTGTTGATTCCCTGATGAGAAGCCAGGATGATCTCTTGTACAAGGCCAGCTTGGGCTATGTGGTGAAACCCTATCTCAAAAACAAACAAACAAATTTCCTTTCATGTTACAAGTCAAACATCACTGTTCTCAGCTCACAGAACTGTGGCAGCAGGCATTGGCACCCAACACAAAGCCCACTTTGAAGCTCACTGCTTGCTTTCCCCACAGGGCCTGTGACATACCTGGTCTTGTTTCCCCCAAATGATCTGTGTGGGGACCTTGATCTTGTCCATGTTCTGATGCAGAGAGTATCTGGATTTCTCACTGACAATTTCCAAAAACACTTATCAGGAAAAAACAAAACAAAAAAACCATAATGAGTGAATGCAGTATCTGCACATAGGTTCCACAGCAGTGAGAGCTTCATTAAGTTCAGGCTGCTGCCCCTCTTCAGGGGGCCAGGAAGCATTTCAAGTACAGAGGTTTTTGAATTATAAGGCAGCCAGACACTAAGCTGAAGCTGTAGCAGGGCTACTTACGTTTCCGGTAGAAGCTGTTATGAGGGATGCGAACATCAACAAGGCCTTGAAGGATCTGAGGATAAATAATCCAAAGTTAGAAAACAAGAGAAATCTTACTTCCTTCAGCCTTTTCCAGCTCTGGGGCAGCACAGGGGAGAAAGCACAGCATTTTCCTGCACTGCCTAGAGCTGGGCTTGTGAATCCCCAGAATGTAGAATATAATTGGGAAGCTTTAAAAAAAATAAAAACAAAAATAAATTAGGGATGCTGGAGAGATACTTTGGTAACAACAGTTGCTGCTGTTACAGATGACCTAGTTTGATTCTCAGCACAAACAAGGAAGCTCACAACCATCTGTAACTCCAGTTCCAAGAGCTCTCATGCCCTCTTCCAGCTTCTGTAGGCACTTTATGCATGTGGTGCACAAGTAAAACATCTTTCACATTAAGACATAATAATAATAAAAAATTAGGGAGGAGCTTGGGAAATGCTGTGAAGCCAGAGGTCTGCATACTGTGTCAAAGATGCTAGCATGGCATCTTGAAAAACTCTTGGCTTAATTCAAAACAAAAATTTGGATAAACAAAATATCAGGTCATTATTCAAAGATATTCAAATGCAGAACAAGACTGAACCATCAGGATTGATGATCCCATAAACAATGAAGGAGTTGGGGACATAGCTCAGTTGACAAAGCTCTGGTCTAGCATGCACCAAGCCCTGATTATCTCCAGCATCACATAAACCTGGTGTGGTACAGCATGCCTATAATCCTAATACTCTAGAGGTAAAGGCAGAAGAATTAGGGGTTTAAATTCCTCTTTAGCTATACGGGGATTTCCAGGCTAGCCTGTAAAACATAAGAAGACCCTCTTGAAAGAGGAAGAGGAAAAAGAGGAGGAGGAAGAGGAGCAGAAGAAATAAACTATTAGGGACTCTGGGGAGATCCCCGTAGTTCCACAGAGCTCAGATTATTATCTGACATTGCCTTTGCTTTCCTTGCTGAGGGCTATAGCAAATATAGACAGGCAAGATCTCCAAGCCCTGGGCTACTAACCCAAATAGGTGGCTATGGCCATTTCCTTGCCTCGGGACTCTAAGTCAAAGCAAAGGGTTCACAAAGGTAGTCATCACGCTTCCCATTCACCAGGGAACAGGTCTAGACTCCTTCAACGTACCTTCTCAGGAGTTTTATGCAGACCCAAGTTGGGAAGACTAGTGTTATGTTCCTCAAAAAACCATGTCCTAAACACTTGGTCTTCAGGCGGTGGTGCCACTGGGGGGGGGGGCCTTTAGAGGTGGGACCTACTTAGAGATCACTGGTGATAATACTTTTGAATGATATATATTGGGATCCTGGTTCCATCCTTGTCTGCTTCCTGTTCACCATGAGATGAGCAGCTCTGTTCTACCACGTGCTTCCTGCCATGATGTTCTGTTTCCCCATGGCTCAAAGTAAAGGGGCCGAGTAACCATGGCCTGAAACCTCTGTATCCATGATGCTCTCAGGTATTTTCCCACGGTGATGGAAAGCTCACTAAAATATTGAACTATGGCTGCTTTTGACAAAAGCAGCTCTCTAAGGCATGGGTAGAACTCAGAGGTTCTGAAAGTGGAAGGACAGAGGTGAGGGAAATGACTATTTAATAACACTGCGCTCCATGGCAGACATTTTCTTCTTTCTACTGCCCACCCAGTATCTATACATCCATCTATCCTTTTCCAGCTCTGCTTAATTCAGTGGTTCTCATTGTTCCTAATGATGTGACCCTTTAACACAGTTCCTCATATTGTAGTGATCCCCAACTAAAAAATTACTTTCATTGCTATGTCGTAACTACAATTTTGTTACAGTTGTGAATTGTAATGTAAATATCTGAAATGGTCTTAGGTGATCCCTGTGAAAGGGTTATTCATTCTCCAAAGGGGTTGCAACCCACTGATCAATTCATTCCCTCATCTTGTTTTCCTGAACTACATATTTATGTCTGTATTTGCTAATCCATCCTTTCTCAACCCCTATATTATCCATCCATCATTCCATCCATCCATCCAACCATCTTCCCACCATTCCATCTTGCAGCATTAAACCATGTAAGTATACACATGTATCAATTCATACATCTATTCACTCTATCTCTAACACTAAGGCATCTATAATATCCACCATCCATCCAATCTATGTAAGTAAAACCTTCTTCATGAAAGTCTACTGCTAAAGTCTGGAGATAGACAGGTCCTGATCTTACAGAAAACAGAGCAGAAGGCACATGTGTGGTGATATATTATTTATGATTTATTAAAGCTTGCCTGAGCTTCAGAAAGCAAAGCCACCCACAAGCTATAGGGGTCAGGCAGTGGTGATACACACCTTCAATCCCAGCAGTCAGACTGAGGTGGTACAAACCTTTAATCCCAGGACTCAGGATTAAGAGGTAGGCAGATCTCTGTTAGTTCACAGTCACACTGACTATAAAAAGGTGATCTCAGTACCTGGGATCATATGCCTTTAATCCCAGCACTAGGGAGGTGGAGACAGGAGTGATATGGCTGGGTAGAGACAGGAATAGAAGGCAGGAGGAGACAGGAACTAAGAGCTTTGCCTCTGAGAACTCGTGGAGCCAGGATTGCCATTTCAGTTGGGTAGAGGTAAGATCTACTGGCTTGGCTGCCAGTAGAACCCCAATATCAGTCTCTGGGTCTTTTGTTTTTCGTGCTACATACTTGTGAACGAACATAACCACAAGATGACCTAATGGATTCAACAGTAGGTGGCCCTGGGAAAGAAAGGCTTCTGAAACCAACACATATTTTCTCCCAATGTTTTCTTATCCCCAACAACTAATAGCATGGAATCTCCTTTGGTCACAACATCCTAAAGATACCATAACTGGAAGAGGACAGTGCCACTTTATGACTAAAAAGATATTGAGGACAAATTACACCACAGACATAGATTGTGGATGTTTCCCCAGGAATGTACTGTACTTATTAACTAAGTCATGGTCACAAAGTCTGTGTAGCATCTATTCTCCACAGCCTAGGACCACCTCACCTTACCCTGAGGCAGGGTTCATTGCCTACAACCCAGGGAGATAATATGGGTTCATAAACCCTCAGCTGTGGACTCTCCTCAATTGACCTCATTCGGACACATGACCCCAACATGGTCCTCCGCCTATGGCTCCTGCTTTACTTTAGGCCAGACTTCCACTTGTACCACTTAACTGTCTAACCGCCTACTTAACACATCCCCTGGAGACCTCAAAAGCAATCTGACCTTAATATATCCAAAATGGAACTCTAAGCATATGTCCCAAACCTGAACTTCCACTGCCTTTACCCATCCAGCTTCAAGAACTGGAAGTCACCTATGACCACTGACTTTACATCACCTCCACTTCCAACCTGCCGTAAGACCTGTCCATTCTTCCTCACAACACATCTCAGCTAGTGCTGCTACCCAGTCAGTCTGTACCACCATCACCTCTAAGCCACAGTATATCCTAAGTAGCCCGTTTCTATTTGTGTCCTCTACAGTCTCTCTGTGTCCCTCCCACTATGCTTAGAAAAAGCAGACTCAGCCCCATAAACTACAAGGACATACAACATCTTCTCAGAGCAGCTCTTCAGAGACCATGAGGTCATACTGTGCTCATACTCAATGACACTCAACGACATTCCTTTCACCTACCTCCTCTTAAGAGCATACTATTATTTGGTACCTATATAACAAGATAGTATCATCTCTTATGCAAATGTTTATCTTTGTGTTTTAAATTTTTTTGAGTTTCAATATCAACAAATATAACCCTTGTAGATAAAAAGCCCTTTGTGTTCATCCAAAATATTTTTACAAGTCTAAGAGTCTTTTTAACTTTTTAAAATTGAGAATGTGATTTAGCTCCTGACTCCCTTCCCAACTCCTTTCTCCTTCACTCTCTAGGCTCCAGACACTTGCTTTTTGTAGGTGGGGGTTCTGTCCCACCGGGTCTCACAGCCCTTCAGCCCCAAATAAGCACACACAAAGGCTTATATTAATTATTAAACTGTTGGCCAATGGCTAGGCCTTCTTATTGGCTAGCTCTCTTTTAATGATTAACCCATTTCTATTAATCTAAGTATTCCCACGAGGTCTTACCGTACTGGAGAAGGGTCCAGACCTGTTATTCCTTCCTCAGCTGCATGGCATCTCCTCGAGGTCTTTCTCTGCCTACCTTTCCCAGAATCCTCCTCATCTCCTAGTCCCATCTATCTTCCTGTCTCTTTTGGCCAAACAGTGTTTTATTCATCAACCAATGAGAGAAACACATATACAGAAGGACATCTCCCAACAGCTTTCTTTTTCCATTACCATGATTCTGTGTATGTTCTGTACACAGGACCCTTCAAATTACCTCATCAAAGGTAATTCTCCCATTTTAAAATTTACACCATCTTTATTTCACGTCTAAAATTCATTTCAATTTATAAATTTTGTCTATTAGTTGTCATTGTCTGCTTCCTGCATTGGACTAACTCTGCCCAGGGAAATTTCCTGTGATATATATTTACCATAGTGTTCAGCACAGTGTCTGACATAGCATAGGCATCTGTGTGCTACATGTTGAGTAAATGGAGTAGACAGAATGGAGTCAGAGAGTAGATGCAAGAGTATATGCTGGGGGATGCTTCGTGGAGGGCAGGGTCTGGCACCGATACATTACCTGCTGGGGCACCTTGAATCGGACATAGGAACAGAGCTGGAGCATCTCACTCATCTCTTCTGGGGTGGATGGGATCAAGGGAATTTTCTGAATGGCAGCTGAATCCTGCAGCTCTTTGAGCCGTTGTACAAACTGATTGTCGGTTGAATACTGCAGGCCTGGAATGCAAAACAAAAGAGCCAGATGATACAAGTTTCAGGTGTTATTGTCTCCTATGACAAACCAAGGAACCCAGGTTAATTGTTAGGTTTCTTTCACTAGGAGATCCTTTTGTTTGTTTGTTTTTTGTTGTTGTTTCTCAAGACAGGGTTTCTCTGTATTGCTCTGGCCATCTTTGGAACTCGATGTGCAGACCAGGCTGGCCTTGAAGTCAGAGATCCATCTACCTCTGCCTCCTGAGTGCTGGGATTAAAGGTGTGCACCACCACTACCTGGCTACGAGATCACGTTTTAATTGGTACTGGCACCTTTGTACAAAGTAAAAATCATATTCTGAGAAATACAGAAAAAATATATCATTCAAGGTATTTTAGAGTTGGAGTTAAGCACGGTGCTGCAAACATGCCTCAAAAGGCAGAGAAAGGAGAGTCACAAGTTCAAGGCCAGTATGGGCTACATAATAAATTCTAAACTAGTCCAGATTAAAACAAAGGCATTATGTTTTAGGACTGATTACACGATACGCAGAAACTCAGGCTGCCCCTAAGCCTCTTGAATCAGAATCTGCACTTCAGCAAGCTGCAAGGGAATGAGGACGGTAGCATATGGGAAGCACGGGGTGGCGCCTTACTTGCACCATTTTCATGCCCACATTATTTCAAGGAGACTGGAGGAAGTGTATGATGCAGAGAAAGCACAGGGCTGCCATGACCAGCAGCTCCCTCCCTTGACCTGGACGCCTTCCGCGCTGTGGTCAATGCAAGGGAGAGTAAATGCAGCACACAGGCTCTTTCTCCATGAGAGCATTAAGTGAGGGCTGACTCCTTTTGAGACTGCATGGCACAAGATGACCTGAAAGCTAACGTTGTGTAGTAGAGAGAGTCATTTCTACCACCATAGAGCCATTTCTCTGTTTAATTTAGCCAAAGAACTAGATTTCAGGAAAAAAGGTACGCATGGCTTGTAATACCAGAATTTGGGAAGTGGATGTGGAAAGACTAGGTGTTTAAGGCAACCTTGACTACATAAGACTCTGTCTTAAAAACAAAAAAATAAATAGGCAAACCAACATATTAGGGCCAGGAAAATGACTTAGTGGATAAAGTTCTTGTTGCATAAGTAAGGATGGAAGTTCAGAACCCCAGAATCCATGCAGAAGCTATTAACAGATACCTGCAGTCTCAACCCTTGGAGATAAGGACAGGAGACCCTGTGGTCATCTTGCTAGCTAGACCAGCCATAACTGGCAAGTTCCAGGCAAGAAAACTCACATTAAAAGTGGCGGTGGCACACACCTTTACTCCCAGACAGGGCTGTTACGCAGAGAAACCCTGTTTCAAACAAACAAACAAACAAAAAACAAAACAAACAAACAAAAACCCACATCAACAAATAAAGTGGACAGTCACCAAGGAAGACACTCAGCACCAACTCTGTCTACTACCCCCAAAGGAAACTTCACATTATAAATCTAGAAAAGTCTTTTATGCTCCTATAATCCTAGGCACACAGGAGTCTGAGGATTACAAGTTTGAAGCCAGCCTAGGCTACACACACAGGGCATTAAGGCCAGCCATAGCAAGAACCTAACTTGGGGGGAGGGGATTCATAGAACCTGCCCAGGAATGTACAGATCCAATACTGTTTCACAGTGACTTCTCTTTAATTTTAATCATGGAATATGTCCTTTTAGAGCGCAGGCAATTTAGGTGGTCCTAATAGTTTTGAAAGATAAACTCATAGCTTCCTGTTGTACTAAGGTAACATCTCTGTTTATAAACAAACTTAACTTAAGATCTGGGCATGCACCTTAGTAGAAGAGCACTTGCTTAGCCTGTAGGAGGTCCTGGGTTTGACATTCAGCACTATAAGAAAATTGTTTTTGCATTCAAATGAAAGCTTTGAAATAAAATGTAACGTCCTGACAATCAAATGATGAAATATCCTTCTTTTCAGTTAGCCTTTACATCTTTTCTCTCTAAATTTATATTGTCACTGTTCCCAAAAGTCATAATATTTTCTAAGAAAAAAATTAATCTTAGGTTTAATATTTTGTGGTATCCTACACTGGATTCTGATCAAATTGGAAAAAAGCTTGGGATTTAGTTAATAGTAAGGCACCATGCCACTGTGGAGGCATGAAGCTGGTGACAACAGACAAAACTGGATAAAGGGGACATGAGACTCTGCTCTACCTTGGCAATGTTCCTGTATATTAAAAATTATTTCAAAGTTAAGACAAAGTTTATAAAGAAAAATGTAGGTAGGATGTGATCCTAACTTGTTTCTACCTTTTCACATGCAAATAATCTTAAATTTCCAATTCAAACCCTGGTATAGAATTCTTCTCTAAGCAGTGAACACAATTTAAAAATACTCTAGTGACCTGACATTCCACCAGGAAGATGAGTAACCTTCCCTGGGGGAAGGCTGCTCCTTTGATCCCCAAACTTTACTATTAAAAGAACAATGGATTTCAGAGATGGTGCTGAGAAAAAGGGGAACAGAAAACTCTCTGGGAGCTTGTTTTTTAATTCAATATCCTCAACAGGCCTGGAAATAATCAACCTTCACAGTAGCTGAAGGGTTTTAAAGGTCATTTAGTTTAGCTTCAGTAAGAGTTGCGAGTGTCTAGTTGAGCAGTAGTAGCACACATCTTTAATCCTAGCACTCAAGAGACAGAGGCAGGTGGATCTTTGTGAGTTCAAGGCCAGCCTGGTCTATAAAGTGGGTTCCAAGACAGCCAGAGCTGTTACACACAGAAAAAGAGTTGCAAGTGTCCAGCTGATGTTTAGGTTCCAGCTGCAGTAGTTCTCAACATGTGGGCCACCATCCCAAAGGATCTGGGTTCAACTCCCAGCACCCACATAGCAGCTCACAACTATCTGTAACTTTAAGATCTGACACCAGTGTATATAAAATGAATTATTAAAAAAAGAAAAAGAAATTTTTTAAAAAAGACAGAAGAAGATGGAGAACAGGTTGGAGAAAGAGAGAAATTACTATTTTATCTACCATGTGAAAGCAATATAAATTTGAGGACTTATGGGAATAAAACAATGCATTAAAAACTCTAAGTTGAGGTAGTAATTTATGAAGTTACAGCTCAAACAGTTGTAAATATGTGCAAATATATAAAAACATACATACACAAATATGAGATGAAAACCTAGAGTCCACTGACTTTTTAAAAAGCTTTTGCCATGCGGCTATTTGAGAAAAAGAAGGGGACCAAGGGGTGTGGACACAGGGAATGGGGATGGCTATGGTCAAAGTACATGATACCTTGGGTGAAAATGTTTCTATAAACCCACCATTTTGTACAAAACACACACTGATACAAATTATGAATCTTAAAATGAATAATGTGTTTGGAAAAGAAGAACATACTAGTACCTTCATTTCACAGGGTTAGGTGAGAACTAAATTTATAAAAAGATGTTAGCTCTTGGGGATCAAAATGTTGGAAGTTACCATAAGTATCCCAGTCGTGAATACCAGGTGCCACATGGCACCGTGCCCTGTGGAGCAGGCTGGATCCAGTTAAGTCAGGCTGGCTAGGGCTGTCATCACACAACTGATATCTGCTCAGAGTTATCACAAAGCATGAAATCCATATCAGATTTCATGGAGTCACAACAGAAGCTGTGTGCATGCTTCTTTAAATTCAAGCTACTTGTAAGGTTGTTCTGATAAAGTAACTCACCAGCAGGGCACACCAGACACAGGCTGCAGATATCAGACGGGTAGTAAGCGGCATATACTCCAGCCACGTGGCCACCCATGGAGGTGCCTATGAGGTGAAAGGGCTTTTTGTTCAGCTTAAGGCATTCTACAAACTAGGAAGAGAAATGAGAAGGAGGCATGATTACAGCTAAGATGTCAGCAATGACTGCTGAGATCCCTCACTCCAGGAAAACTAAACACTTTACACTAACACACCCATTATCTAGCTGAGTCCTGTGACTCATATGCACTTTGCTTTGTAAGGCACATGTGGTTGTAGGGTCACTTATAAATCAAACAAGGATTCCCTTAGGAAGTCATAAACTGTTCTATAAAGGACCAAGGCATTTATGTTTTTTTTTCCCCCCTCCATGGCTTAGCTGGTCTTTGTTGTAACCACACAACTGGGCCACTGTGATACAAAAGCTGTCAGAGGCAGTACACACCTAAGTCAGCAAGCATGGCTACGCTCCAGTAGAATTTAGTTTACAGAAGTAGGTGACAGCTCTGAGGTCATAGTTTGATGAGTCCTGTTTCACTTCTGGCTAGACATCTGCCCAGTCAACCATCTACACATTTATCACTCATTGGAAAACTATTTATTGGATATCTGTTATATACTAAAAGCTATGATTAGCTGCTGAGGATAAAGCAGAATCAGACAACTAGCCCTCATTAAAATATACAGTTTAATGGTGGAAGCAAAAATTATCAACTAAATGTCCTTATTTAGAAAAAACAGTTTGAAACTTAAAAACTATTCTGTTAGGAAAGGGATCATAAGTAATCATATCCTTAGGAGGGTGCTAGAGATGGATACTAAAATACAACAACATGCAAAGACTCTGCCCCAGCCATACGGAAGCAGAGAAATAGACCTCCACAGGGAAACAGTTTAGTAGAACTCTAAATGCCTTTCAAAGGGCAGAGAAACTGCCCAGATTGCATTTCTTCATGTACAAATGGGCAGGGGATGTGACTCGTGGGTAGAGTGCTTGGTTAGCATGCACAGATTCCTTGGTTTGTGCCTGATGCCCAGCACCACATAAACCATTCAAGGTAGCACATTGCTGTAATCATTGTACTTGGGTGGTAGAGGCAGGAGGTTCAGAAGTTCAAGGCAACCTTCCACTACATGATACCCTATTTCCAAAAAACAAAAAACAAACAAACAAAAAAAAGTATTATAGGTTTAAAGGAAAAGTATCTGTAATGAACTCAGGCCCTCCTCAACTGACCAAACATATCCCTAGGCTACCGTTTTGTTTTGCAATCACTTGGAGACAGAATGTACTGGGGACTGGCCACAAGCCAGCGTGCAACTCTTGCCTGCTTTCCATTTGCTAAGGCGATACAATCTGAGCAGTAAAGCCTCCTGCTTACCTGGTGTACCCTCTTAACTTGCCCATCTATGGACAGGTCATCCAGGGAGGAGCGGGTAGTACCTTCATGACCAGGCATGTCCACGCAGACCAAGTGCAGGTTCTTTGGAAGGAACTGGAGACATAGACCTGGACAGTCAGTATCTATCTACAAAAACATGTCTGCCCATTTCTCTGGGGAGACAACTGCCACCTACCCAGTGACCCACACAGCCACTGAGATTATGTTTCTGAGCCTCCATGCATCTTACATGGTAAATGTGAATAAGTATCAACAGACCTCTCACAGGGAGGAGAGGACCCCAAGACGGGTGCACGGATGAAAAGAGGCTCGCTCAGTGAGTGACTGGAGAAAGGATGCAAAACTCAGGCTAGCAGGCTTACTTCTTGCTCCTATTTTTAAAATTATTTCCCATTATGTTTTAGCTATTGATTCTCTCCTTCCACTTTTATCTGGGTTCCAGGGATCAAACTCAGATTATCAGGTTTGCATGGCAAGTGCTTTTCTGGCCAAGCCATCAATAGCCCAACATCTTAAACTTAATACTATACTAAACTCAGTACTACTTCCTTTCCTTCCCATGCCATTCTTCATCTAGTCATGTGGCTATTGTCTCGCAATTAGAAGAGATGGTTCCCAGAGCCCTGGCTAGGTCCAGAGCCAATAGGAGCAATGCTTTTCCCCAAAGTCATGAGGCTGGTTTCACCTTCCTTCATTTCTTCATCGGGGTCTAATTCTTGAGATAATTATTCTCCCAAATCACCTTTTCTCTCTGTTTAAAAGATGCACCAACTTTAGCCATGAGTCTGAGGGGCATCAGTTATCAAAGATGTTTAATGAAGAGGGGATAAAAAGAATTAGGGATTGAAGATGGTTGTCCACATGGTGGCATTTGAAAAGAACACAAGTAACCCAATGACAAGTGCTGCTTTTCCTCCTAGTAACACGTATGCTCTCTCAGATACTGTCTCACTTTAAGTAGGAACCTGGGATGCTGCTCTCTCAAGACAAATGTCAGCCTTAGTCCCGCCTCCTCCCCACCACCAGCTGGCAGTCTCCCTGAGTACAGTGAGGGGCCACACAAGTCGACAGCACAAAAAGTGACCTGGAAAAGGACTCTGCCAGATCAAGACCATTTCTCTAAATGATTAAGGAAAAAAAAGAAGAACAAACAGCAGAAGGAAGAGGAGTTTGGGGGCAGGCAGGGAAAGGGAAGGAATGTGTAAGAACAAATACTTTTGGGAAAGGCCCAGCCTTGAGCATCACAGCACTTCTGTGATGGAGCTGTGTTGGAACACCCCTATCTCTCCCCCAGCCTAAAAATATCCCCATGGTGAGAAGACTCCAGAGACTCAGCTTTTAAATACTACTCAACTCTGTAACAAAACAAACAAACAAACAAACAAACAAATAAAAAAAAGGGGTCTGAGTAATATACTTCATTGATTTTAAGATTGATTTTAAGACAGAAGAGTCCGGAATTGTACCTTGACCACGCTGAGCCACATATCCTTGTGTGCAGAGAACCCATGGAGCATAAGGATGGATGGTTTGGGTCCTGGCCTGCCCCGGAAGGAGTAACAGAACTGATAGTCCTCATGGTGCACATAGCGGACTTGCATACCCAGTGTCCTCCGCCAGTACCTAGGGTGAAGAAAGGCAAGACACAAGCAGCATGTTCAGGGTACATGGCTTCAGGAGGGGCACAGGTCCTCTCTAGAGATCCTACTTGGTGACAATACAGATGCTTCTCCCAGCTCTTATCCTTTACTTTCCCCTCAAGGAGTACTAAGAAGACAAGTAAGTCACATGTTTTTGGAAAGTAGAAGGGGACTAGCAGGGTGTATGTGTGTGTGTGGTGTGCTGGGGGAGTGATGATGGCTAAATAGCAGATAGTAACAGGATTACATTACATACATATGTAGAAATGTCATCATAATACTCATTATGTTGTGTAATTAATATATGACAATAAAGAGATGGAAAAATTAAAAGTGGAAAGAACTTGCACCTGAATGAGAAACAAAATAAAGGGACACTACACACAACACCTTTTGTTAGACTGCTCTCAAGGCTCCAGAACTAACTCAGCTGCTCAAGACCTACATGCACTAACTGCTCTCTGGCTTCATCCCTCACAACATATTGCAACAGTTGAAGGCTCAGCTTCTGGTAGTTATATAACCCTTGGCAAGGCTGTGGTTTGGCCTCAAGTCCATTTCAGTATGAAAATACCATTGAAACAAACTGAACTCTCAGCATGAAAAAAAAAAAGTTCCTTCAAAGATGAAAGATAATTAATCATCCCGATATTGTCTCTGTAATAGACTTTACACCACAGCAGCAGCCAAGTCTCGTGAAAGCAAGTGACCACAGTGTTAACGCTTTGTGTGACATAAGGGGGAAGAGAAGTCAGGCTATATAATCATGTTTACTTGTATCTACAAACCCAAGTGTGGGTGTGTACACAAGGCACTGTCAAATGGAAGCAGAGAATGAGGTGAGGAGTAGGGAAGGAAAGAGAGGGTCTAGGGAGAGCTAGAACACATTCCTAAATAAATATAAAATAAAAAATCAGAATTTCATCAGGAAATATCATGCTGCCAACGAGTGTAGACCACAACCTGCTACAGGGTCTCTCTATGTAGTTCTGGCTTTCCTAGAACTCATTATGTAGACCAGGATGCCTTGAACTCAAAGAGATCTTTCTGCATCTTCCTCTCAAGTGCCACCACAACCAGACAAATTCTAATGCAAAAAATTATGAGTGTGGGTGTTTTGCCTGCATGTATGTATACATGGCTGGTACCCACTGGTTACAAGCATTCAATTAGGTGATGGGAATCAAAACTTGGGTCCTCTGGAGCAGCTACCAGTGTTCTCATCCACTGCTCCAGCCCCGAAACTCTCATCTTTTTACAGCTTCTGCACATGTAGATTTTCAAATTAGAAAAGAAGAAGTTTTCTTCTCTTCTTTTAGATCAGTTCTAATGTCCTATCTAGGAAGCAATCTGGCATTAGTCATCAGCAATTTTTTAAACTGGCCCATTAATTGTACTTCCAAGAATAATTTGTCCCAGGGAGATAAGAAGAACCCTTAATGAAAAAGAAAACTTAAGGAAAAAAATTAGGTCACAGAAACACTAACAGAAGAGCTGGGGAGGTAGTGCAGCAGTAAGATACTTCCTTCAGTGTGAACCATGTGAAGCTAGGTTCCTTCCCCAGCCCTGGAAACAGTAGGCAACAAGGAGGTGTGAAAACGGAGGATGAGACCAGCATAATGCAGGCCTTATCTTGAGGAACAGCAGCAGAAACTCAGGAGAGGTGAGGAATGACTTCCTCAACCACTAAAGAGAACTAACCCCAATTTCACATTCCTAGCCTCCAGAGCCATGAGACAGCTGTTTTAGACAGGAACGTCATAGTCATTCATCTGCTTTTGAAGTATATTTATTTTTTATGTATACGGACATTTTGTCTGCATCTATGGGTTTATGTCTGTGCGCCCATGCGGTGCTCGCAGAGGCTAGAAAAAGGAGATCCTCTGGAACTGGAGTTACAGATGGTGTAACTCCATGTGGGTGCTGGAAATTGAACCTGAAGCAGCAAGTACTCTTAACTGCTGTGCCATCTCTCCAGGCCCTTGCTTTTGAACATTTAAGCTTAAGCACTGCTCAGCCTCCCAAACATTTACATTCACTGTGGTTTGGAGTGTCCCTTGTGACCAATGGAACAGACTACTGTTTCATGCCAACTGGATGCTAAATGTCATCTCTGTAAAATATCTGAGTTTTTTGTCCATTTTCTGGATTATATGCTCTTTTTTAGATGTACAAGATGAATTCTTTATATATGCTGGGTGCAGGTGGTTCTTTATGAACAGACTAACTGCAAATGCACGCTGCATTTTTAAACCTTTGTGGAGAAGCTGCACTAAGGACTGGGTGCAGTGTCCGGTGCATCTGAGCACTGATGTTGAACTACACACCAGCTTGATCTTTTTGGTCTCCACTATTTCTTCATTTAAGATATACAATGAAACTGAACAATTTGTTTTGTTTTTCCAGACAGGGTTTCCCTGTGTAGCTCTGGCTGTCCTGGAATGCACTCTGTAGATCAGGCTTGTCATGAACTCACAGAGATTTGCCTGGCTCTGCTTCCCCAGTACTGGGATTAATGGCATGCACCAACACTGCCCAGCCTAAATGGAACATATTTTATAACTAGAAGTGTTTGTTTTTCAAGCCAGGGTTTCTCTGTGTAGATCAGGTTGGCCTTGAACTCACAGAGATCTATCTGCCTCTGCCTCCCAAGTGCTGGGATTAAAGACATGGGCCATCACCATCTGGTTTAGCGAGAAGTTTTTGTTTGTTTGTTTGCCTTTTTGTTTTTTGAGACAGGGTTTCTCTGTATTGCTTTGGAGCCTGTCCTAGAACTAGCTCTGTAGACCAGGCTGGCCTCAAACTAGATCTGCCTGCCTCTGCCTCTCAAATGCTAGGATTAAAGGCATGCACCACCAATGCCCAGTTGTGCTGGGAACCAAGCTCTTATATTTTTGGTTGTGAGCCTAGCCTTTAATGGCTGAGCTATCTCTCCTGCCCTAGCTAGAAATTTTTATCTCATAATTAATTATGCCTACCTCAAATGTCAAGAAAAATGTCTGTTTTCTTAAGCAAGATTTGTTGAACATTTACATAGACCTACAATCTACCAGGCTCTGATTTTTAGGCAGAGTATGAACTTAATCACACACACACACACACACACACACACACACACACTCAGAGGCGTTTTGTTAGATCACCTGTGCAGGTGAGTAGTGAAGGTTAGCTAGACACCTCACCTCACTCAGGGTTTCAGTGTTGACATAAAGGCTCCAGCCAAGCTGCCTCTCATTCAGCAAAACTCAGTTCTTTGTGGGTATAGAACTGAAGTCCTGTGTCCTTGCTAGCTGTCAGTTGAGAACTGTCTGTCTCCTCCAACCCACCCATGTTCCTTCCTGGATAGCCCCCTCCAGTTCAAATGGACAACAGCACCGAGTCACGATGGAGATTTGCATCTCTGTTTTTAAGGACTGATGTGATCAGATTAAACCCCTTTGGATGATGTCCCTGCCCTAAAGTCAGATGCACACAACATACACCATGACTGTAATTTAGCATGACCATGACATGAATACACTGTCATAGTCACAGGAGCATCTTTGAGAAACATATATATTTTAAATAATGATAATAAAAGAAGGTTATTTTATGTATGTGATGCTCTATCTGCATGTACACCTGCAGCATCATAACACATTATAGAAGCTGTGAGCCATTATGTGGTTGCTGGGAACTGACCTCAGGACTTCTGAAGAGCCGCCAATGCTCTTAACACTGAAAGCAGAATTTAATAATTTTGTCTACCAAAAGAGTCAAACTTACATTTTTCCCAGCTGGATTTCTTGTTAACACAGTGTACTTCCCATATCTTTGAGCATCTATTTCTAGACATCTCTAGTCCATTGTTCTATTTGTCCTCTGTGCCAGTTTCACACCAACTTGACTTTCCTACCTTCATAATTATTATTGATAGCTGGTAATATAAACCATCTTGATTCACTCACTCTTCAAGACTGTCTTGATTAGTTGGCCCTTTCCTTTTCTTTATTAAGAATCCACTTAGTTGACTGGAAGGAAGTCTCGGCAGCTAAGAGCACTTGCTGTTCTTGCACCCACACAGCAGATAGCCACCATCTAAATTCCTGTTCTCCGTGGGCACCAGCAGACATACATAATATACACACATGCAGATAAATACACACAAAAAGTGAAGGGACAGGAGCAGTGAGGGGAGACAAGGGTGACAAAGTGACAAGGGGTGAACACAATCAAACACATTGTAGGTATGTCTGAAAATATCATGAGGAAACTCACCCTAACTCTTACAGCTGACATATCCTAATAGAAACTTTTAAAAGAGAAATTAACTTTAGCTCACTCTGCCCTCATGGAAAAGAGGTCAGTTCTAATCTACAGCTTCATTAGTCTGTAAAATGAGGCTATTTCCTGCCAACTTGAAGGATCATATGAAAATCAAGTATTTCTAAACTAGTACAAGAATCTACTTGTTCTAATTCACTCTCTATTACTATAACAGAAATAACAGAGATCCATGACCACAAGGAACTTGTGGAAGAAGGGTTTATTTGGCTTACATGGCCCGGGTCGCCATCCACCAAGGGAAGCCAAGGCAGAAACTCAAGGCAGGAATCCAGAAGCATTAAGTGAGAGGGCAGCCACGGAGGGAACACTGCTGACTGGCTTGTTCCGCTGCTTTTTCACACAACCCAGAACCACCTGCCTAGGGTGGCACCAACCACAGTGGACTGGACCTTCCCACACCAGCCATGAGTCAAGAACATGACACCCTGACAGAGCATGCTCTCAGCTGAGGTTCCCTCTTCCCATATGATCCTAGTTTGTCAGGTTTGACCAAAAACTAACCAGCGCACAGCTTACCAAATGCCATCAGAAAAACCTATTGGGATTTAAGATGGTTAGCCACTTCATTTAGAGGCCATTTACAAAACATGACATCTCTACGAGAAGAAAATCTTCCAACCCACGTAGTTTATCCTTCCATAAATTTAGGTATTATTAACTGTCTCTGGTGGATATGTTTTAGTTTTTTATGTAGAGCCCTTTCATATTCTTTTTAAAAAAGGGGTTGAAGAGATATCACCTTTATTATTTTAAATTTAATGCTGTATGTGTGCGTATGCACTACAGTGAAAATATAGAGGTCAGAACACAACTTTCGGGAGTCAGTTTTTCCTTCCTTCCTATACTTCTGGGAGTCAGTTCTCTCCTTCCACCCTTGTTCCTGGGGATCCAATGCAGGTCATCAGGCTTGTGCCGAAAGCACCTCTACCCATTTCACCATCACCTTAGCTTTAGATTTATGATTATGTATTTGAGAGTTATTGGCTCTAGAATAAGTAGTAAAATTTAACTTTTTTCATTTTCATTTGTTTGTTTCTGGTATATGGAAACGTTACTGATTTTTGGTTACTGATTTTTTAAAAAAATTATTTATTGACTTTGTGTGTATGAATATTTTGCTCGCAAGCATGTATGTGCACCATGTTATTGCCTGTTGGATCCACTGGAACTGGGGTTGTGAGTGGCTGTGAACCATTATGTGGGTACTAGGAATTGAACCCAGGTCCTTTGAGAGCAACAAGTGCTCTTAGCTGCTGAGCCATCTCCCCAGTGCCAGCTACTGATCTTGTATTCAGCAACTTAGCCAAATTCACTTTGGGTGTGTGTGTTTGTGTGCATGTATGTGGGTGTATATGCTTGTGAAGGTCAGAACTGAGACAAGGTGTCTTCTTCAATTGTTTTCCTCATTTTTCAAAAGACAGGGTCTCTCACTGAATATGATGCTCACTGATGTTGCTAGAATGATGGCCAACAAGTCCCAGGGATCCTCCCATCTCTGCTTCCCCAGAGCTAGAATTACAGATGTCTGATTCTTCACTCAGTTTTTTGTTTGTTTGTTTGTTTTGATTTGTTTTTGTGGATGCAAGAGTTCCAAACCCAGGAGTTTATTCTCGTGTGGCAAGAACTATACCAACTGAACCATCTCCCTAGGCAGACCCCAAATTCACCTATCAATTCTAATTATCTATAGATTCAGATATTTACATTACAATTCATAACAGTAGTAAAATTACAGTTAGGAAGTAGCAATGAAAATCATTTCATAGTTGTGGGTCACCACAACATATTAAAAGGTTGCAGCATTAGAAAGGTTGAGAACCACCGTTCTAGAGGCTGGGAAGTCCGAGACCATGATGTGGCTTCGACTTGGCTTTTGGTCAAGACTTCCTAATGCTTGAGCTCATGGCAGAAAGCCAAATGGCAAGTGGCCATGCACCAAAAACATAAAATACAAGGTGCTGCCTTGACACACAGCAACAAACTCCCATGCATTAATGAGTCTAATCTCAGCAGAACTGCACTGACCTCTCAGAACAACCTAATCTGTCTCACAGATCCGTTAACACCACTCTGTTAGTACTGAATCCTCAGATTCAGTGGGTACCATGACATACCATTCCACCATAATAAGGAACAAGTATTGACACCCAGAACAATGCACATGAAACATGGAACCACCATCAACATTGGTACCATGATGGGATAAGCCCAGAATCCCAGCACTGGGAAGGCTAAGTTTACATAGTGTGAACTTTGGGGAGATGGAAAAGATCTAGACTGATGGAATGGTCATGACAGTACAAAACTATAAACACAATAAAACCACTCAAATGTACACTTTCATATAGTGAATTTTAGTTAACTAGGACTTGGTAAAACAGTAAAATATTTGCTAAGAAGGTCTTTTTCCTCTTTGAAAAACAAACAAAAAAGGTAAAACTAGTCTGATACTCTGATTCTGAAAATTTGCTCTTTGAGAGTCCATGGAACATGGGGGTCGGAAGACTAACAGCACTGAGGCTGGTTCTCGCCCACAGTGGGTGGAACCACCCATCAGCATGCAGCCATATCCATGGTTACAGTCTATATCTGCAAACTGCATTCTCTGTTTCAGCTCCATTTGTTTAACAATGATGGCATCTGTGAGTGGAAGATCAGGATCTTGGCAGGTGGAGACATGGCTTGGACCTCTCCATGCCCAGGACTACTCACGAGTCCCGGCAATGCAGCACCACAGTGCTGCTAGGGGGCTGATTTGTCAATGCAGAGGTGGGTCCTGAGTGGCCCTGTGAAGGGGACACGAGCCCACCCACACAGAAAAGGCACAGAGAATAATGAAAGATCATAAACTGCTTTGTTCTATTTGCTGCTTTTCAAGGCTTGGAGCCTGAGCAGCTAGTGGAAAATTCCACAAGCCGGTGAAACAAAAGGGAGCCAAAAAGGAGGGCAGACAGAGGGCATCAGCCTCCTGGTACTCTTCTCCACAGGCAGAGGTTCCTTCTAATTGCCCAAGACCCAGATAGCTCTCCCGGGGTTTATCTACAGTGTGGAGAGGACCCAGTATTCATTTCATCATGAAGGGGATGGGGGGAGGGGGGACTACTTTATTTCATGAATGGGCAGTGGCACGGAAAAAAAAAATCAATGAAGCACAGCACTTTCTCTTCAAGTGCTGACTTTTTACAATACAAGTCAGTGCTAGAGGCCCTGCCCAGCACACACGGGCCCTGAGTTCAATCCTTTAATAGGCAACAACAGCTAGGTAAGAATTTAGTAAGACCCTTTAAGGTAGCTGTGTTTATTTTTACTTTTTTACATCAGTTATTCTTCATGTCAAATCTTCCATGTTATAGTGGAGATAATTATATCACTTTATAAATAAACAGATTTAAAGGCCAGGCATGGTGGCTTGTCCGGGTAATCCCAGTCTTAGGCAGCAGAAACAGGAGGATCCTGAGTTCAGGATCAGGCTCAGTTATACAGAGCCTTAGACCAGCTGGGGCTGCAATGACACACTATCTCAAGACAATAACAATAGAACCCACAACTCCACACATGAGCCTTGGCATAAAAGCCTCCCCAGTAATAATAAATAAAAAAATTAAAATAATAGCCAAAACATAGGTTTACGGTCTTAACTCTGAAGAAACTACAGATGATACTGAGACAGGGCAGGAATGAAGGTACTAAGTTTTAAGGTAGAAGCATCACCCCAGCCTCTGGCATCCATATACCCAAAGAGCCTGGAATGTTAGGGTGGAGGTTCCACCCAAGCCCCCTCCCCATATCCCTCCAAACCCTGCTGCAGCTCAGAAAGCCCTCCAAATGATTACTTCTTCCCTAGAGATTCTCAAGACCACTCCCACAGGGTATTTAAACTGCTTCCCAGTAAATAGACTAGTGGTTTTCTGATCTCTTTCCCATCTCCTCCCTGTGGGGCTGGAAGACCATTTGGGAGCATTGTATTTGTTAAACGTGGGCTTTTTCTAATTCAGTTTCATTTGATCTGATTTGGATTGCTGCATTGGCACAGAGGTTTATCCTTGTACAAAAACTTTTCAGTAAGAATGACAGCTATTTGGAAGCTCCATTTGCCTCTCTCCTCAGTAATTAACAGTTCTAGAGCAAGGCTGGGCATGTTGGCCCACTTCTGTAATCCAGGATTTGGGAGGTGAAGGAAGGAGGCTCAGGAGTCATCTCCATAGGAAGTTTGAGGCAAGCCTTTGCTATGGGATCTCAACTCAGAACACCAAAACCAAATGGCTGTGGTGGCACATGCCTCTCCCAAAGCAGAGGCAGACAGATCTCTGTGAGTTCAAGGCCATCCTGGTCTACATAGAATTCTAGGCTAGTCATGGCTACTTGCTGAGATCCTGTCTCAAAACCCAAATAAAATGGTAAAACCCCCAACAGTTCTAAGGTAAATACTAAAAACACTCTGTGTCACCTGTGCACCTGCCCTGGGGGCAAACATGCTGTCAGAATCTTGAAACAGTCTACCTGCTTTGAAGTACCTGCCAGTTCAAGGACACATTCAAAATTGAAGAGGAGGCAGAGAGATGGCTTAGTAGTGAAGAGCTGTCACTGCTGTTTCCAAGGACCACAAACACGGCAGCTTACAACTGTCTGTAACTTCAATCTCAGGGCATCCAGCAACTTTTCCTGGCCTCTGTGGGTACCAGGCATGCACATGGTACACAGACATGCACACAGGCAAAACACTCATACACATAAAAATAAGTATGTATCTTTTAAAAACTTTACAGATTTCTAAACAAGATGTATGTCCTTCAACTTTTCTTTGTTTAAAATTATTTCATGACACAATGACAAGGAACAATGATCAGGACAAAGTGGGAAGGAAAATACTGTGATACTTTAAAAACCTCAATTATAGAGCTGACTTACCAATAATAGATTCTTATCAGTGCTGAAGGCCACAGGAGAAAAGAAGCAACGAATGCCAGGATTGGAATGGCCAGGGTTCCACCCGCAATCACAAACATGTTAACTACATCGAGATCCATCCTGCTCTTTAAGGATGGTTGGCACCTGCAGAGGCAGAAGAGAGAGAACAGTACTGAAACAATCCCATGGGGAAAGAGGAAGGCTCAGAAAGAAAAAAGGATCTTGAATGAGGGATCAGGACATGCGCTTAAAAAAAAAAAATAGTAACTAGATATGATGAGGCAGACTTGGGGGGACCTTGGACCTCAAAAGATGAGAATCAAAACTACAGGGTACATTGCCAGGATAGCTGGAGAAATCTTGAGTACCCAATGGGCGTCATACAGTAGTAGGATGCATGGTGCTACCACTCTTGAGCATTCAGCAAAATCGTAGCTGTGGACAATGCAGAATGTCATGCCTACAAGGAGTGTGTTCACGCTTTGAGGGGGGTGTGGGTAGTCTGTTATGTACCACTCACTTTTAAAAGTTCAGGAAAGAAAAGGTAATATATGTGAAATGTTAACTATGATGCATTATTCCTTCAAGTTTCATATAGATTTACAATATTTTATTTTCATTGATTGGTTGAGATAGATCTCACTATTTAACCTAGGTTGGCTTGAATCTTACTATGTAGCCCAGGTTGGCCTGGAACTCACAATCCTCCTGCCTCAGTTTCTTGAATGCTAAAGTTACAGACAAGCATCTTACAATAACTAAATGAGGGGCCAGAGAGATGGCTCAGTAGTTACTTGCTGCTCTAAAGAGGACCTGGGTTGGGTTCTCAGTACCCAAGTTCCAGAGGATCTGATGCCCTTTTCTGTCTTTCTCAGGTACCAGGCATGGACCTGGTACACATACACATACACATGCCAAGCACTCATGCACATAAAATTTAAAATAATTATAACCAAACAAGAGAGGGATTATATCCACTTCACAGATGAGAGCTGAGGCAGAGAGGTCTTACACCTGTTCTGCTCATCCAACTGTCCTCTTAGCTGCTTAGTCACTAAAAGCAGTTTTCCCAGCATGCTTCAATCACTGGCCTGTCTCTCTTCTAGAAGTACACTCCATTCAGGGCAAGAATAATCACTATGTTCTTTCTTGGTGCCTAGAATAGCACAAGGCATACACGATGTACAAACAGACTAAAGAAGAGCAGTTATAAGACGAAATTAATCCTGTGTAACAAATTTTAGGGAAGGAAAACCATTCCATACAATGCTACAAAAGACTGGCATTTCCCCCTGAAAGTTAAGTAGTTACAAAGTGCCCTGGAGGAGTTGCCTATTAAATTCAAGGTCCAAGGGCAGGGGAAAGGTGTGTGGCCCAGTGATGGAACAGCTAGCTGCCTAGCACACACAGGGCCCTGGGTTCCAGTCCAACACTGGGGGGGGGGGGGACTGCTGGCACAATCCATGCTGCACAAAGGATAGACATGTCTAAATCTGCAGGCCGGGGTTGTGGGCGTCACATGAGCTGAGGGATATAAGAATCCAGCTTCAATATGACTCTTCTGTACCCCCAGGATGTCCTTAAAAACTGCAGAGAGCCACTGTGACTCAGACTCCTGAGCTGGGAAGTTAATTACCCAATGTTCCATCAGTCTAGGACTTAGGACATTTTATGCCCAAGGTCATGGACATCATGAGTTCTGGCACTGGAGATGGTAGGCAAGTAAAGAGAAAAAAACCCTTCCTCCGCCTGTGACTGCTGAAGATACCACACTTTGGAGGAAAGTTCTACCAGAATTCATCTTCTGAGCAGAAGGAACTTTTGTGCAGCAGGATCACTTTAACAAGGTTAAGGCTTCCCCTGGACAACCTACACACTTGACCTAACTGAGAAAGCTATGTTTTCTAACTGCCATGTTTTACACCAGTGATCTTCAACCTGTGGGTTGTGAACCCTTTAGCGGTCAAACAACCCTTCCACAGAGGTCACTTATCAAATATCTTGCATATCAGAAACTTACATTATGATTCATAACAGCAGCAAAATTATAGTTCTGAAATAGGGATGGAATAATTTCATGGTTGGGGGTCACCACAACATGAGGAATTACATTAAAGGGTTGACACACTGTCTATTTAGACAGAGGGAGGACAATTCTTCACAGCTCTGCACTTTCCTTCACCTATAAGGGACTCTCCTCCCTTTCCTCTGGCAGGTGGTTCCCCTACCCTACTGGTGCACATTCATTGTGTCTGGGAGTAGGCTAGAGATAGAAAAACCAAAACTCTGAGAACAAGGAACTATTAATTACCAAAAATCAGAAAACCACGTAAGGGTGTTGCCTGGAGATTCACAAAGGACAGTGTTTGGTGGCTTAGGAATGGGAGAATATTAAGTCAGGCTTCAGGGCACAGGGCTTTGGTTAATGCCAACACTCACTAAGAAACTTATCTCTGCTGTTCAAGTCCTGTCAAGGCCAGGGAGCAACTCTGAAGACATAATACCTGCTCCCAGGAACTCCTGGAAGTATTTAGCTAATCAGTAACACTGTTCCCATCATTTATTTTAACAGATTGTGTGTGCAAGTGCATTTGAGTGTGTCACGAGGCAGGGACATGCCACAACATACATGTAAAGGTCAGAAGACAACTTGCAGGAGTCAGTTCTGTTCTTACTGTGTGGGCTCTGGTGCTCAAACTCAGGTGTGGCAGTAAGCACCTTTACCCACTCACTGATTCTTAATGATAGTTTTCATTGTTCTAGGGGATGTTTCTAAATTTCAAGAATAAATTTAAGTAAATGATACTAATTTAAGGGAAAACACTAGAGCCCTGGATGCAGCCAGTGGCAGTGTGCTAGTCTAGCATGCATTAAGTCCCAGGGCTTGGTCTACAATGCTGCAAGAAAACAAAAGAAAATGCTAAGTGGGTGAGGTGTGACTCTGAGAATATGGTATGTGAGTTGCTGCATGCAAGGCACAGTCAAAGACCAAGGGACACTAGACTTAGGGACATTCCAGCCACTGGCTTCTCTACATGTTTTGCAGTGAGACCCTCCTCTCCTCATCTCTTTTGCCCTTTCCTAATCTGGTGACTTAACATATCTACAATTATGATGGATAATCAATGCAAAAGACCTAGCTAGCCCTTCTATAAATCTCATCTCCTATTACAGTTCCACAGAAGCTAAAATGGCACCTTGACAAGCTCTTGATATTGGGTAATGCTTTAACCTTTTGGTTTACCTTTTCACTAATCTACAGTCTAAAGTAGAGGCCCCAGGAGCCCTGCAAACAAGGTGAAGGGAGGTAGCATCAGGACAGGAACTGGTTGCAGCTCTGCCTCAGTATATACCTTCATGTTTTTGCTGGCACTCAATACAATCAGCAAGTAAGGAATGTATTGTCTGTACAAAACAAGCCAGCAAACAAACAAACAAAAAACAACAAGACAGATGTAGAGAAGAAGGAAGATCTGGCCATTCTTTCAGCAAGGGGAGTCACTCAATATCATATAGAGAAGAGCCCAGAACAGAGCTTGCTACTCAGCATTTGCAGCTGTATGTTCAGAGTCTTTAGCATTATAAATAAGAACGGAGAGGAACTGGATAGAGATAGGTCAGTAGATCCAGATAAACCCTGCATGAGGGAAATCAAGTGAGTCTGGGATTAGAAGTCAGGCATGCCATTTCAGAACTCTTTTTTCTTTTGTTTGTTTGTTTTTCCAGACAGGGTTTCTCTGTGACTTTGAAGGCTGTCCTGGAACTAGCTCTTGTAGACCAGGCTGGTCTCGAACTCACAGAAATCCACCAGCCTCTGCTTCCCGAGTACCGGGATTAAAGGCGTATGCCGCCGCCGCCGCCGCCGCCACCACCACCCGGCTCATTTCATAACTTTTTAATGCTCCTGATTAATGCTGAGAATCTTAAGTGATGACACATTACTCTTCAGGGTATAAAGCAAAGTATAAGAACAAACAGAATATAGAAGCACTTTCATCGACTCTGCCTTCTAGGCATGTCCAGTCTGCCGAGTGAATCCCAGGATATTTTCTGCTATGGTCACACATTTGTAGTAACAGCATCATCACAATGTCAAAAGGTTGGACACCCTGATATCCATCTATAGTCAATCAAATTTGCCAAACTAAAGTCTTGGTCTGTCCAAAACATTAATGCCTTTTATAACAAAAAATAACAACTGTAGCCATCACCAACACAGTCAGATGTAAGAACAGTCTCCATGCACCAATAACTCCCCTGTGCCAGTCTTGTGCAGTGATTAACACCCATCTTCCCATTTTCTCTCTTATAACATGATGCGATGGGAAACATCCTCCCAATGTCCCCCAGTTGGTAAGTAGCATGACCTGAACTCTAAGTTAAAAACCAGTCAAGTCGGAGGACTCTGGGTAAAACATCCCTCCACAACCTCTCAGCTTGGATCCAGTTCTCCAGGCAGATCCTGCACTAATGTCATTGTAGTCATGCTAAGGACTGATGTAATGTAATTAACTACAGGAATAAAGCTTACCTACTCCCCTATAAGTAACTACTCAGATATACTCAACAGACAGGCAGTCCTCAAAGGCTCAGAGATCTGCAGAATAGGGCATTTAAAATGTTTAAGAAGCTTTTCATAATAGACATGCCAGCTCCAGACAGCTCCCCTATCTCCTCCAAAGATAGATGGACACAGAAGAACCTCCACCTGGAACTTGCTTCATAAAGGGCAGCACTAGCCACTGAGCAACCCGCCTTTCACCTCAACTGCTGCACAGACCCACTGCAGACCACTGACAACAGGACACTGGGGAATCGACAGCCTCAGGCTGCCCAAGAAGCCTGTGGGATCTTCCGGGGCCTTATGGGCCTACCTTTGCCAGCCAGAAGATGAGTGTTGCCCTGGACCTCTACCCTCAACAACTATGGAGGACCTGGGGTAGCTGTCTAGGAGGCCAAGCAAGTACATCTCTGCCATTTTTAATCATTAATTCAGATAAAATGTTATACTTCTCAAGAACTCTGATGCTGTTGATGACGAGTAGACTTGCCACTTAAAAGCAGCAACCAAGGCTTCAGCTGCCTTCTCAGTTCTCTGTGTAAAGTTCAGGTCACAGGCCTCACTCTCCTGGAGTTAACACTAAGTCTAGACACAGTTTACCTCAGAAAAGCAGTAGACTCACAAAACAGATTTCAGTATAACTTCTTACTGTTCCTTTGTTTAAAGAAACTTTTAGAAGGTGTTTTAAGGTGCAAAGCTTAAGATGTGAGGATCTGAAGAATGTTTCAGCGTCTAAGAAAGTAAACTACGTTGTGTAAATGCAAGTTACGAAGGTCTAACTTGCTAATAAAGAGAAAGTGATTTGAGATGTTTAAAATAATGAAATATGTTCCAGATTTCTCTCTTTCATTATGCTACTGTTATATTAAGACTCCAAAACTTCATAGTCTTAAAAGTAATTGATGGAGTTCTGATAAACGATTAATTCAACTCTGACAGAGTACTGTAAACATCATACGATACCACTATAAGATCACAGCTACAAGATCAAGATCTTAAATTCCCTTTGGTTGTTTCCTAACTATAAACTTAAAAGATGCCTTTCATTGTGCTAAAAACATCTGTCACAATCTTTGGTGTAGAAGAAAGTGGGTTAATGCTTTCGACCAAAATCATTTCTGGCATAAGTATACTGCTGTTTCTAAAATATAAATTTCAATACAGATTACTGTTCTGGTGGAAGCTTAACCCCAGCCTCTGACATCCATATACCCAAAGAGCCTGGGATGAGGGCTGATTTCAAAAGTATACAAAGAACTCAAGAAGCAAGTCACCAAAACACCAAATAATCTAATTAAAAAGTGGGGGTACAGAACTAAATAGAGAATTCTCAATAGAAGAATCTAAAATGGTTGAAAGACACTTAAGAAATTGCTCAGCATCCTTAGCCATCAAGGAAACACAAATCAAAACAACTCGGAGATACCATCTTACTACTGTCAGAATGGCTAAAATCAAAAACACCAATGACAGTTTATGCTGGAGTGATGTGGAGAAGGAGGAACACTCCTCCACTGCTGGTGGGAGTGCAAACTTCTGTGGCCACTTTGGAAATCAGTACGGCAGTTTCTCAGGAAAATGGGAATCAGTCTACCTCAATATCAAGCAATTCCACTCTTGGGCATATACCCAAGGGATGCACATTCATACAACAAGGACATCTGTTCAACTATGTTCATAGCAGTGTTGTTTGTAATAGCCAGAACCTGGAAGCAGCCTAGATACCCCTCAAAGAAGGGATGGAGAAGATGTGATACGTTTACACAATGGAGTACTACTCCGCGGAAAAAAACAATGGAATCATGAAATTAGCAGGCAAATGGCTAGAACTAGAAGAAACCATCCAAGTGAGGTAACCCAGTCACAGAAAGACAAGCATGGTATGTACCCACTCATATATGGATTTTAGACATAGAGCAAAGGATAACCAGCCTACAATCCACACCACCAGAAAAACTAAGAAACGAGGAGGACCCTAAGGGAGATATATACGATCCCTGGGAGAAGGAGAAAGGGACAAGAGCTCCTGAGAAAACTGGGAGCATGTGGGGAGGGTAGGGAGGGAAGAAAAAGAGAAGGGGAGAAGAGGAGGGGAGAGGAGGACATGGGGGAGCAGGAAGACTGAGGAGGAGAATGGAGGAGAGCAAGAAAAGAGAAATCTTAATAGAGGGAGCCATTATAGGTTTAAAGAGAAACCTGGCACTAGGGAAATGTCCAGAGATCCTCAAGGATGACCCCAACTAACAATCTGAGCAATAGTGGAGAGACTACCTTAAATGCCCTTCCCCTGTGATGAGATTGATGACTACCTTATATGCCACCCTAGAGCCTTCATCCAGTAGCTGATGGAAAAAGAAGCAGACACCCACAGCTAAACACTGAGCTGAACCCCTGGAATCCAGTTGTAGAGAGGGAGGAGGGATGAGCAAAGGGGTCAAGACCATGCTGAGGAAACCCACAGAGACAGTTGGCCTGAGCAAGTGACAGCACAGGGACCCCAGTCATAAAGCTGGGGAACCAGCACTGGACCGAACCGAGGTCACTGCATGTGGGTGTCAGTTCGGATGCCTGAGCAGTTTATGGGGCCTCTGGCAGTGGAACCAGTTTTTTATCCCTAGTGCACAAATGACTTTGGGAGCCCATTACACATAGAGGGATACTCTCTCAGCCCAGATACACAGAGGAGAGCCTGGGTCCTCCCCCAAATGATGCCACAGACTCTGAAGATTCCCCCACGGAAGGTCTCACTCTCCCTGGGGAGTGGAATGGGGGTGGGATGGAGGGGTTGGTGGGGAGTATAGGAGGGAGAGGGTACTGGGATTGATATATAAAATAAGATTGTTTCTAAATTAAACCAACAAATAAATAATCTTCCTACAAAAAAAAAAAAAAAAAAAGTCTGGGATGTTATGGAAGTTCCGCCAAGCTCCCCTCCCCCATCTCCCTCCAAACCCTGCTGCATCTTAGAAAGCCTGCCAAATGAAGGTCCCTCCTCCAGAGACTACTCCCACAGGGTATTTAAACCGCCCCGCTGCCCCGCTCATGGTTTTTCCTGTCTCCCTTTCCATTAAACATGGGCTCTGATTCGGTTTGATTTGGTCTTATGTGGATTGCTGCATCGGCGAAGAAGCTTATTGGGATGTAGCAAATTTTCAATTACAAATAGTAAAAATGCTAATGTGTCTAAAACTTATGTTTTCACAAACTCAAAGAATTCAAGTCAGCTTGGATCCACCCGAACAGGTTGGATTCACTTCAATAAGTACCATCCCCACCCTTCCCTGGTCTTGCTATCCTCCTCCCTAATTACCAGAGCCTAAGGAAAAAATTTCCCCTAAACTTAACCTTGTCCTCTGCTCTGATGGCATCTTCCCAGATCCAAAAGACACCAGACAGGACAGTTTCACATAGCCTGGACAGCAATGAAACAAACCATCTACCCCAAGATGTGACCAGTGCCCAGCTTTCTCAGATCCCCCAAAAATGGTCAGTGCTCCTCTAGGTCAGCAGGAAGCAGACTCAAGAACTCGGTGTCTTCATTTCCTTAACCTGTCACACCTAACTCCTCGCCTTTTTTAATAAAGAAAGAAAGGAGGAATGTTATCATCCAGGTACATATGGCCCTGCCCCTTGGGGACCTGGTAGAGTGCATCACCCCCACAGGGGAAGCAGTACCCGGCTTTGTACACAGGCACAAAAGGTCCCTTGAAGAGACAGTTCCACCTGCTGTTCCTCTGAAGAGGCAGATTCTTTTCCTGATTCTCCCTCTTCCTCTCCCTCTCTCTCTCCCCTTCCCCCAATAAAACTGCCTGCATGGTGTATTTGTCTCTCACCTGATGTGGGGGGCTCTTTGAACCCAACCCACCCACCAAGGTCCATCTAGCACAATAACAGCCCCTTAAATGTCAATATACCTTCCATTCACTTGTTCAATGCACCAGGTACATAATGGAGAAAAGATATTAGCACTCAGGTCAACTGTCTAAGTTTATGAAAACTGCTGTTTAATTAACTTCTGGAGATACAGTTCTGTGACAGAATGCTTACCTAGTACATATGAATTCCTAAGTTCAATGTTCAGTGCCATAAATTTAAATAATTTCCTAATTTAGTAAAATTCAAAGTACACTTCTTAATTACAATAGCTGCTTTTCAAGTACTCAACAGCCACATGTAGATACAGAACCACACGGCAGGGGAAGTCTCACCCACACTGGACCACATAGCTGTGTGTCACACCCCTACAGAACCTCACAGCATCGGGAGTCACACCCATACAGAACCTCATTGCATCGGGAGTCACACCCCTACAGGACCACACAGCACTGGGAGTCACACCCCTACAGGACCACACAGCACTGGGAGTCACACTGGCACAATCTCTTGCAAATAATCAATTAGGCCAGTTTGATTCAGTATTTAGTGGACATATTAATAGGAAGAGCAACTCACATCGGTTGTAGAACTGCCTGCCAATCAGTCAGACTTGCCGCCTTGGCTGTACACTAGAGCCAGGCCCTTGTTTCTCTTGGCTCCCTTTCTGTAAACGCTGTTCTGACACATCAACCATCCTTCCAGCACCAGCTCCAGGAGGACTCGCCTCAGTTCAAAGCAAGGATTGGGCTACACTGGTCAAACACCCACCAGATGAAATGAGAGCCCCCACATATGATCCCAGCTCAACTTCCCAGTGATGACTCTCACACCCCAGTAAACTAGCTTCCTGCCCCATCCCTGCCCACATTGCCTCCTGCTCTGTCCCCTTCTAGTCCTGCTGTCCTATAGCTAACTGATAAACTCACTCCTCCCTGCCTCTAGGGCTGGTTCCAGTGACACATTCCCCAGCAGAGCACTGTCATTCCTCTGAGGCCTTGCATTCTAAATAGCATTTATATCAGAGCCCTGCTCCTAGACGATCTCAGAAAACCCTAGGGGCTTTTGGACTGTATATTGTACTTTTGAAGACCCCTGCCCCAAGTACTAATTCCTCCCCACCATACACACTGACCTAGAGATTCCCCAGTCTCAGGAAACCTGCTCCTCTTTTAGATAATCTAACATATTAAAAATTCACACTTACTCTTCAAAGAGCAGACTCTTTCGCAACGTTACCGGCTTTGGCAGGAGCTGAAAATGAGATTCTGTAATCACAAGAAATAAAATGACAAAGCATTAAATCATATAAGGAATGTGTTGGCAGCTAGCCAGGTCTGGTTGTAGTGGAGCACAGGGTTCTTTCTGCACGCAGAAAATGTGCATTTCCCGTGGCTTTATAATCCACCTCTAGCTCAGGCCACCTCCCAACTAGGCAAACGTGCACAGAGGGCAGGGCATCTAGTCAGGCCCTGGGAGGGCTAAAAGGTCTAAGGTGAAAGCAGGTGATAGGTCAAGCATGGATTGGCTGCCCCTAGCAGGGGAGGTCAAACAGAGGGAAGCAGGTATGCTTGGGGCACAAAGCTTAACAAAGAACTTCAAATAAAGATCTAGATTCTTCTTCCTCACCTCGACTGGGGCTTACCTAAATGCTACATTTGGGAAGGAATAAAAAAAGAAAAATAACTAAGAGGTAAAGGAGGGGCCGGTGAGCAGGGGCTGAATGCTCAAAAACAGGGTTGGGAGAACAGAAGGCGGCTGGCAAAAACACCATAGCAAAGTGCGAGGAGTTGGGAGGGAAAAGTTAGGCCACTCGACCCAGAACTATTCTAGGCAAGTTAGCATTAAGCATGCAAAGCAGAATCAGAAAGGTCTAGAAGAAATCACAAATCTGAAAACTTCTCCATGGGGAAGGCCATTCTAAGAAACATAAATCCAGAACCCATAGCAAAACAAAAATAAACTGATTGCTTAAATTGCTTTTGAAGTCCACTTGAAAGAGATCTCATATCAAAACTTGCCCACAGATATCACGTAACAGACAACTTCCTTAGAACATAAAATCCCCACCCACCCAACCCCCCCACCCCCGTCCCCCGCCCCAGACCAAGAACAACAAATAGGAAAGTGGAAATTGGCCTGGATAACTCTCCAGGAAGAAAGCAGAAACAGCCCTTAAACCCACAAAATATGCTCGGCCTCACTTACACTAAGACACTGGTAAACTAAGTCTCACCCATCATTTCAAAATCAGTCAGTAAAAACCCACGGAGCCACAGACTATGTGGTGTGGATATGTAAAACATAGCCTGGACTGGTTTACACACATATCAACAAACCCCACGGACAGCAGCTTGTCAAAATTTGTGGCAATGCAAGATGTGCCTTCCCTTGACTTGGCAACATCCGTTTTGTTTTGGAAGTTCACCCTTATTTTCTATCAAGTATATATAAAATCTTGATACAAGGTTATTTATTACAACATACTATAACAAGAGACTGGAAGCAATTCATACACCTACTTTCATGGGATCTGGTGAAAAAGTGCTGGCATAGCTTTTAAAAAGATTACAGCCAGATGGAGGTAGTGCATGACTTTAATCTCAGTACTCAAGAGGTAGAGGCAGTTGAATTTCTGAGTTCAAGGCCAGCCTGCTCTAAAGAGCAAGTTCCAGGACAGCCAGGGCTATATCAAGAGACTCTGTCTCAAAAAAACAAAATAAATAAAAATGAAAAAGGAAGAAGAAAGTTAAAGCAGGAGGACTGGGAATTCAAGGCTAGTATACAACAACTCCGTCTTAAAAAAAAAAAAAAAAGTAATTAAAGAAGCAAACCAAAATAGTACATAAGACTTCTGAATTGAAAAGAGAATGAGAGAGAAACATAATATGCTTTCATATGTATAAAATGGTTCTGAAAATAACAGCTGGCTCTGGGAGGAGAAAGTAGGGGGTTGGGAGTAGAGATGACAGTGGAAAAAAATGATTTTTTTCTTTTATTTTTATGTGCATTGGTGTTTTGTTTCATGTGTGTCTGTAAGGGTATTGGAATCCCTGGAATTACAAACAGTTGTGAGGGGCCATGTGGGTGCAGGGAATTGAGCCTGGGTCCTGTAGAAGAGCAGTCAGTACTCTTAACTGCTGAGCCATCTCTCCAGCCCCCGAAAGCAAGATTTCTAATGGGTAGTCTCTTGCGACTTTTGAACTGCCACCAAGTACCTGTATGAAGTCTTTCCCCCCATTTCATTACAAATACAATATAAGCTACACAAATGCAAGGCGCTACCCTGCACTGCCTGCTTCTGTAGCTACTTACTAGTTATGTGTAGTAAGTTCAAAACAAATATGAATACCTGATTTGGATCTCTAGCACCTGTGCGAAAAGCTAGGCGTGGAAGCACACTCTTCCAAACTTAGTGCTAGGCAGATGGAAGGGATAGAGAAATATACCTGACATTGATCTGGCCTACACACACGCAAACACACACACACACACACACACACACATACACACACAGAGAGATTGAGAGAGAGAGAGAGAGAGAGAGAGAGAGATTAAAATTTGGTTCCTTGGCTACATCAGCCATGTGTCATATGTACACAACAGCCACACACAGATGTGGCTTGTGACTATCATACTGAATGGATGGTGAAAATACAGAATATTTTCATTATCACTAAATGTTCTATTGGCTTAATGACCAATGAAAGAGAGCAACCAAACCTTATGAGTGATGAAATACAAATTCAAGTACTGTTAGGATGAAAGTCTACCTTTGTACATTAGGCATATAACGTGAATGCTTACATAGATAATATTCAGAGTGTGGGGCAGGGCACACTTCTAACCTATGTGACAGTGCAGAGGTTAAGTACACACCAGCAAGAACTTTAGTCTTTAAGTTCGAGGTCCAGTACTCTAAGATAGATACCGATAAGGACTTTCCACCCTGCAAACACACATCCATGGTTAAGCTATGACTTCCTGCCTCCACTGTGGTTCAGAAGGGGCTGATGAGAAAGTTCACAAAGCACCAGTGACTGATTTTCCTGGTGGTTCTTGTTCAAGAACCAGTTGAAACACAGTTGTTCCCCCTGCCACCTTAGTGATACTGTGGACAAGATAGCTCAGCCTGCTGGGCTGTGACCATAGGCAGAGGACCAGAGAGAAACAGAAAGTCTTGCCACCCAATCCTGGAGATTTGACTAGCAAAGGCAGGAGCAATTAGAAAAATTAACCAGGAACTTAGCTAGATGGGGACTTGTGTATCTGTGGCACAGCTTTCAAAGCTCTTACTGTCTGAGAAGCAAGGCCACGAGATACACAGCTCATGTCCTGGCAAGCAAGGCCCAGCGTGTGAGAAACATCAGACTCTTGAGCCAAGATATGAGCTGATATAGTCTAAGATAATCACCTCCTGGAAATGTCTGAAATAAGACAACACTGAAATCCAGACTAGTCTCTATTTGTTTAAAATAGAAGCCCAAAGCCACTTCACCAGCTCCTCATGTGGCCCCTCAGCTCCAGAGACTGGAAATCACACTGTAAGCTTTCATTTTCCCTCACGGTAGAGTGCCAGAGAGAGCATCATATTGGCAAGTATTCTCCACTGAACTAAAAGGGAATCAAAATAGCCCCATGTATGCTATAGTAGAGGCCTAGAATGGAAATGAGCACCCCAAAAACATTCTCCTGTTGCCCAAACTTGCTCTCAAAGAGCTGGGAGCTTAAAGAGGTTTGTCTTCAGCAAAGGGGATATGGCGAGTCAAAAGTATTTCTGATTATGGGAACAAAGCCAGCTTCACACAGAAAAGGTACTATCAAAACAAACAGCAGCAAGATTTGAAGAGCATAAAGTCTAGCTGGACTGTGGTGAGTGGGTCCCTACTCTCTTTCTAGCCCAAATTTCCTCCCCAGAAGTCTCAGTAATATAAAAACAATGAACACAAGAAAGGGGATGTAAAAGCTAGACCTGGTGGTACTTGCCTGGAATCCCACAGCACTCAGGAGGCTAAAGCAGGAGGATCATATTCAAGGACAGTCTGGGCTGTACAAAGAGATCTCTGTCAAAGAAAGAGACAGAGAAAGAGGAGGGGGAAGAGGAAGGAGGAGAAGAAAGAAAAGAAAAAAGATAGAACTATACTCAAAATTGCATAGTTGGTAGAAAACACTACATTAAGAACTAGGTTCAGAAAGACAAATACCTCAGATGACAGAGTCTCTCATATGCAGACCCTAGCTTCCAGTTCTTATATATGTGTATCTATTAGGGAATGAGAGTGGGAACAGGCTATGAAAACTATAAAGGTAGCCATGAGGGAGGAAAAAGAGGTATACAGGAAAGGGCAGGAGACAGTAACAGAACACATGCAATTCAAATACTGGAGGCAAAAGGGTACTAGCTGGGAGGGAGAGAGAGACAAGAGAGAGAGGGAGAGGGAGAGGGAGCGGGGGAGGGAGGGAAAAGGGAGAGAGAAAGAGAGAGGGAAATCAATCCAAAAAAAAAAAAAAAAAGTATGTTTGAAAATGCCAAAGAACCCTGTTACTTTGTATGCTAATTAAAAAATTGGAATGCATGAAGGAGTTTGCCGCTGGGAACCTGTACACTCTTTCATAGTAAACTTACAACGTTTATATAAGTAAGGGGCTACAATGTAGCTCATCATGCACAAAGCCTTGGGTTCCATCTTCTGCACTATATAAAGTAGGTAACACAGTACCCACCTGTAATCACAGCCAGGAGGGTAGGAAGAGCAAGGTCATCTCAGGCACATAGTAAGTTTAAGGCTAGCCTGGGATACCTGAGACCCTGTCTAAAACAAATACACAAACAAAGTAACAAACACTAAACAAATTTTGTGTTTAATTACAACCCTGTGCTAATTCCTAGAACAAAGGATAGAACAGTGTTAGTAGCATGAAGGTTCTACCCAGATAATTTCAGGTTACCACGGTACTATCAGAAGGGCTTTTTGTTTGTTTGGGTGTTTTTTTTGGGGGGGGGTTGTTTTGTTTTTTTGTTTTTTGGTTTTTTTTTTTTTTTGCAATAGTATCTCAGTTTCATTTCTTAAGGGTCCCTGTCCCCTGAAGAGGTGCTTATCCCTTGTCTTTAACTACTGACACATCTAAAAACATCAGCTCCTGCCCGTCTCAACACATCAGCCAGGAGGCTCTCAAACACCACTTGTCTTGATTTCATGAAATCCTGCTTCTCTGTTAAGAGTGGTGATTGCACAGTCCTCCATCTGTTCCACAATTACAAAAATCT